TTGACAGCTGGTAGTTCATCGTACATGTAAAATGCACACGCTTGCTGTGAATTAGTTCACCCGTTGGCTGTCATAATTGAAAGAGGCGCTGTTTCAGTGAGTTTCCTTCGAAATGAGCTCTCTATTATAATTATTTCTCTAAGCCTATACTTTCATCTCCTTATCTATCATGTAAATATGTTTACCATATGTCTGATATTGACATTAGTTAAGTATCTCCAACTGTTTAATCGTCAACTTCACGCATGAAGTAATAAACCAGTCTGATTAGTAATTTACAGGGTTGTCGACTCTCCAGGAATGCTATATTTTTCAATCACCCAGTGTTACTATAATTCATAGTGATATGCGAAAGAAACTGCAACCATAACCACCTGGATATCTATAAGCAAAAACGATTTGCTTAATCACCGTAATGTTTTTATCAACTTCATGATCTGTTGCTGACCTCGATTTACTCCATGTTACGAGGAAAGGTCCTTGACTTGGCAATTTTATCACCCATAGAAGTTACTATTCGGACTGTTTCCGGACTTTACGCTACAGGTAGAAATGCATCTGGTGGCCACCCATCTTGCATTTGAAACACTTGTGTTTAATCCCATGAGCAAAATTCTTCGGAATAATGCGCTTAACCAAACGCTAGTTCGCGGCTGAGTTAATTTAGATTAAGATCCTAAAGTAGACTGTTGTCAATTTTTGCCGCAAAATAATGTACTGACCACTAGTCAATATCTCCTTCTGATTAATAATTTAACTGAATTTCAGTAAATTGAAATGTGTTTTATTTTGATAACAAAAGCGTTTCAAATATTTTCACAACATGAAAACACAATATCGAATCAATTTATCGTTCATTGATTTGCTTACAAAAATCACGACTTCAATGTCGATTCACTTGATTGTTTTTATTTTATTATTAAATAAGGCAAATGTAGAAAGCATAGAAAATTAGTTGACTGATTCCAGCGAGGGGGGCGACACATCTAAATCTCAAGTTTAGATGGTTAACAAATCTCACACTAGCGAATCAATCTTCGAACAATCTTCTTTCATTTCTCGCATCTACTTGCATCGCTCATCAATTTTTTGCAGGAAATCTTCAGAATCGTCATCAATCTTCTTTGTATCTACTCAGCGTGCGCGCAGCTAGTCACAGCAAAACACAATCTTTTTTGCATCGTAGATAGAGTCGTCCCCCTCGGATTTCAGTAATATCCTTGTTTGCTGATGCGATCGATAAATTTTGTTGACGAATTTTTTTATCGAAATTTCAGCATAATTGTTCGATCAATCTCGGAAAAATCATATGCAATGCTGAAATATCAGCCAAATCAGATTTAAGTACGTACAGTCGAACGTATTGAACATCCTTTTTTTCCAATTTGAACTTTATGAAAAGCGCTTTCACCTCAAAAATCTTGTAAGCTGCTTCCATCTTAACAGCAATCGCATAATACTTTCACACAGCTGGAAATTTCCGCTCCCTTGAGCTTCGCGCCTTTATTGAGATTTTCTGAGCGTATCAAGCTGTTAATCACACAATAAGAAACCAGAGCTATGTACAAGTATTCAACAAAATTATCTTTTTTCCTTCAACCCTTTACCATTCTTGCATTTACTCAAAGGCACTTCATTACGACAAAGGTTCGATTTTTGTTGGACCCATCTAGATTCAGCGTCCATCAAGAGACGCACCTATCTTAATTTTTGTCAGACCCAATTAGGTATAGCATCTACTCAGAGACACACTAACGCACTAGGTGACTTGGAGGTTACATTTGGTCACAACCAATAACGTCTAGCGTCGACATTATGATTAGGTTTCTACTTCATTACTTTATTGGATGTCCGTTCCAAAACCGAATGCCCGCACCTTACCCTTGACACCACTTATAAGGTTTTGGACAATGGTGGGGCCGACTTCTTTTGATACTTTTACCCACTGTTTCTTCAAAGCCAGCTCGTACTCCAACACCTTAGGTGTTTTATTAAGTCTGGCCTTCATGATGGCCCAAAACATTTCAATCTGACGAAGTTCCGGCGAGTTCGGTGGTTGACATCTTTTTGTACAAAAACAACATTGTTGTCTCTGTACCAGTCTAACACCGGCCGCGCGTACTTGCTGGATGCCAGATCCGGCCAAAACAGTGTCTCACCTTCGTGAGACCGCAGGAAGGGTAGGAGGCGCTTCTGGAGGCACTCGTCCTTTTAGATTTGCCCGTTGATGGTACCGGTCGTGATGCATGGCTAGCTCAGCTTTCCGCACCCATAGATGGCCTGCCAAACCAAGAACTTTTTGAAAAATTAGTTCACCTTCTTCTACCTTACCTCCTCAGGAAAGGCCAACCATAATGTGGCAACGTAAAACTCCTGCCCCGGGAACTGCTTTGTGTCCGCCGTGATGTAAGTCTCGTCGTTCATCACGACGCACCTCGGTTTCGCCATCCACTCCCGGTACAGCTTCCTGGTGCGGGGTTTGGCCTCCGCGGTTTGTTTGTCGTTTCGGTTCGGTGCCTTCCGGACCTTATATACGTGGATGCCGAAACGTTTCATCGTTTTTTGGACAAACCAGATGGAAACATCCGCCTTCTTCGCCACATCGCGGATCGAAAGATTCGACTAACGCTCAAAAAGACTCAACACCTTTCTGGCCTTCCTGGTCCTTCCTGGATTTTCCAGTTTAAAACAGAATTCCCTGAAATTCGCTGATTTTCCAGGGTTTTTTTTCAGTTAGTCGACACCCTGAATTTACTTTAAAGCATTTACTTTACATCAACTTTAAAAATTGTTGATTTTTTCAATATTTTCAGTACATAAATTTTCAAATACAAAAACCTTCATTTTATCTAGTAGGAGAAATGGCTCTAATGTTGGCCTATGGATCTAAGATTGGGCCCATCGCTAAAAATCTGCTAATTATCAATTTTATCTAGATGAACGCATCATTCGGACGGTACTTATGGACATTTCTGGTCGCTATTGAAAATTAAGTCGATTGCTGAATTTTTGTATGGGCCCAAATAAGGGGCACTTAGGCCGACATAACAAAATCTCTGATGCAAATCAAGCAGGAGCTCAATTTGAGTGTATCCCGGGAGACTGTTCGTCAAGTTTTAGTCAAAAGTCCGTTCATTAAACGGGCTAAAAAGGCAAAAGCTCCCAATCTGACTCCATCTCACATCGAAAAACGCTTAAACTTTGCACGGAACAATATGAATCGACAGTGGGATACGGTAACATGCTGTAGTATTTAAATTTGTGAATATTGCACGATTAAAACAATTGTCTTTAACACTTTTTATTTTTGCGCAGACGATCTTCAGCGACGAAAAGAAGTTTAATCTGGACGGCATCACGGTTCTGGAAACACGTCTGCTACCTTTCATGCGCAGATTTCGACGCAAAAAGTTCACATTTCAGCAGGACAACGCTGCTATTCACACGAACAAGGAAACAAAACAATGGATGATGGACCATAAAATAGATCTGCTCGACTGGCCAGCCCGGTCCCCAGACCTATACCCAGTAGAAAATCTCTGGGGCATTATGGTTCGCAGAATTTATGCTGAGGGACGTCAGTATGCCACTGTATATGAGTTGAAATCGGCAATATCTGAGGCATGGGGAAATATTGAGAAGGCTGTCATCCAAAACTTGGTAAACAGCATACCGAACCGCATGTTCCAAGTTATTAACCGGAACGGTAAGGCAACTGATTATTGACATGTAATATTCACTGTTTATGACATTAATCTGCGTTTAAAACGCAGCAACCTGATCCAAATCCGAAGTGGTTCTAAGCTAAATTGACAGCAAAAATTAACAAATATGCTCTCAAAATACATATATAACTTTAAGTTTTAACTAAATGACTGCAATGTAATGTATAAATAATGAACTCAATAAAACATCAACAGTTGTTTTAAAACTTCTCAAATAACGTTTGAATTATCCCAAAACATAGGTGGTCCTAAGCTAACATGACAGAGTGTATGTATAGTAAGATTTAGGAAAGCTTCAATATGCCTTGGACACCTTGACCGTAATCTTCCGGGACCACTTATCGTATTACTTCGGAGGTTGCAAGACACAGCGCGTCTCACTTTGCCTCAGCTAACTGGCGCTTATGGTTCGCTGATTGTCTCTCCATTTTGTAAGCCATTTGTTTATATGTGTTTTTTTTTTGTCGGTCGTATTAGTCTTATGTGATAAAAGTGGGCTCGGTGGCCTAATGGTAGCCGTTTTTGCTTACTGGGCAGAAAATCATGGGTTTAATCCCAAGCCCCTTACACAATTGATCTCGTAGGATTGCATAATTTTATTGTCAGGCTTTAAAAGATCGCGTCACTTTCCAAAGTGATTCCAGATCTCATTTATCCTCCCTACTAACAAAACGTCCCTCCTGTGACAACCGTGGATATGCAGAGGTGTATTCGGTCTCTAGTAACAACGGTTGTCGAACTAACAATCCTTCCCTTCCCCCGATGACCGTAAGGACGTGGCCGGCACCGTTATTGACCATATAAAGTATTGAACCTTCGAAACGTGTACATAGAGAATGGATAGCTCATCCCAGGCCCCATTCGTTTGGATCTATGTGCAATTTCGCTGGTTCTTGTCAATCACGGAGTAGCAACTACTGAAATGTACGGTCATCCAAGCTCAAGCTTAGGCCGACATAACATCTATTTCCCCTATATCACATTTCGACAGATGCTTCAAAATATTTGGTATTGGATAATCGCAAAATTGGATTTATTCGTAGATTTGTGGCAAAGTTTTCAACTCCATTGATCATAAGAGAACAAAGTTACAACACGTCTAAGTTGACCATTTTGTATGAAAATCGGCATGCGCTGCTATTATAACGAACAGCACTGTACCTATACGGAAACATACGACTTCATTCCAACGACATCCGGTTGTCTGGGCCGTCTGCCTGCCTTGTTCTGGTTATCTGGTTCCCAAAAAAAAGTCTACCTATTCTTTCAACTTACCTCAAATCTGAATCCACTTCATAACCCGCGTATTTTGAGTATTCGAAAAATTTCCCAGTAGCAAGATTTGCAAAAACTAACAGCCGCCCTCTACTGAATGACACACTTTTCATCCTTGTGGTTGATATCGACGGTTTCGAGTTTGCGCTCGATTTCGTCGTCGTCTTCAATGCTGCAAAACGGTTTGGAAGAGTGAATAACAATCCCGGAAATCGACGTTAAAACAACTTACGCCTGCTCCTGACTGTGCAGATTTTGCACCAGCTCGTTGCGCTTGTCGACTATGGCCACCAGTTCGGCCAGCAGCAGGGCTTCCTTCTCGCGCTGTTCCTCCGTTTTGCGCCAGTCTTCGATCGAGAGGGCCGCCCGCAGTTCCAGATTCAGCATGTCGTACTTCTTCTCAAGATCGTTCTCTTGTTCGCTGAAATGCAAAGGTATTTATTTTTTTCCCAGTAGTTTGAGGATTTTAGAGAAATGGAATTCTTACAGTAGATTGAGCTGCATCTGCCGCCTCAGGAGAGCATTCTTCTTGTTCACCAGGGTGAACCACTGGGACATTAGTTGATCTTCGGTTTCGTTCACGTCTAGAAAGGGTAGGAATGTGAAAAGTGGATTTCCATTTCAATCGTTTTGAGATGGAATAAAGAAGTCTTACTGGTCATTGTGCCTCCCATCACAGCTCGTAATTTCTTCTCCAGGGCATTGGCCTTCTGATCGATAGCTTCCTGCTCCCGTTCCAGTTTGTTCAGTTCACTTTGGATGTAGTTCACTTTTTCCACCTGGGAATGGAAAGAGATAAGCTTGTTTAGCCAAACGGTATATGTTTCGGGACCAGCTTTACGATTGTAGTAATCGGTACAGTAGCCACTCCATACATGCGGTGGGTGGTAGCGTCGGCTATCCTTCAGCCAATTGAGTTGATTTTCTGTAGGTAACCAACTAGTTTATGGTTGATACTAATCACATACAAAGCGTAATTAATTGAAGGACAACCGAGAAACAACGGTGGGTTGACGGCACCACCCACCGCATATATGGAAGGATTACTGTAGTTGAATTTTTATAACGCGTAATTTATGTTAAGGTGATGATTCAAGATGACCATCACATTGTGCTGCTGGATCGGGACGACCACTGAAATGGCGATTTATGTTGACCATTTGCTACAAGCACCACTGGTTAGGATCTACTGTTTATCGTGTTGCTGGATCACGGTTTATCGAGACATCCAATGCTCGCGTTGGATTGGATCGGGACAGGAAAATAATAAAATTATGACGGGATCGGGACGACCGCTTAATCGCTCACAAGATACTACTTAGAAACGTTGCGATTCTGCATAATTTACCAAGTTTCATTGAAGCATCAGTGAAAAATAGCTCAAATTCAATCAAATCCAATCAAATCAAATCCAATCAAAACCTTAACTGCAGTTAGAAACTAAAAACTCAAAAGCCGCTTACCCGTCCCTCGTTCTTGGGCGCAATCAGTTCAAGCAACGAAGGTGACAGCTTGTTCGGCGAGGGTGTTGTCCGCCGCAGCAGGTGATTACGGTTCGAATCGCTTCCGTCCATGGTTCGGGCTTCCCCGCCGCCACCGAAGCGAATCGGCGAGTCTTTACTATTCCGGCTGCTGAGCATTCCAACGGTCGGGAAGATAAACTCCGGCACGTTGTTGATCGGCGAGATGGTACGCTCGGGCGAGAAGTTGATCTTATGCGGTGTATTTATTTTCGTCGGCGACGACGGCGAATCCAGATTCAGTGATTTCGCTTTCGTCTCGGCGATCAGCTTCCGCGCCTGCTCCCGTAACCGCGTTTGGCGTTCATTCTAGTAGAATCCGGTCGGTGTATGGAATGAAATGTTTTGGTTCGTAAAAGCAGTTGGGATGAGTTTTTATTGGCGGTGTGGAACAAAGAACGAGGATTAAAGTTTGTGTGAAAAAAAAAAATCAAATTTGTACAAAGTGCTGGACACGTCCTTAGGTGTCAATTTAAAAAAAAACGAAAGAAATTCAACTAAAATACATAATACACAAAAAAATATAGAGAAATCAGAATATAACTTACAGCATCAATGTCACCACCCTTATCTACACTAGTCGTTCTAAGCTTTTCAATCATAAATTTAGCTTTCTCACTCATTTCCTTATGCCGCATAAGAATTTTCTAGAAGAAAAAGAACCAAACAAAACCAAATCGAAATAAAACCGAAAATAAAACGCCACAACTAAAACTATAGGAATAATCACCAAAAACCAAAACTGAATTCGTAACTCTCCGTCATCTTGTACTTACATTCGTCATCGCCGTGTCCAACGCGGGCACCTCCGTCAGGTCACCGTCCTGCTCGCTCCTGGTCGTACTTTCACTAACTCCGCCTTCCACCTCGTCCGGAACGGTTCCGTTCAATTCCGCTGTATTATTATTGATACTATTGTTATTGATTGCACTATTACTATTATTATTCCCTCCACCACCGCCACCACCAATTTCATCACTATCACCACCACCGGTGGTAGTGTGACCATCCACCGGGAACGTACCATTCGGCATCGGTCCGTTGCCATCGATGGCGGCGGCTGGCGTACCGAAGGCCGCCGAGGGGAACTTTTCTTTGGTAGGCGAAAGCACCTTTCCCAGCAGGGCTTTCGAGTTGGCCAGCAGTTGCGCTTTGCTGGCTTCTCGCTTCAGCGGATCGTCGTCCTTCGGGGTGATCATGTCGTTCAGATTCAGCAAGTCTTTGGTCAGCTTGTCCGACTTGTAGTTGCCGATCACGTAGCTGGAGTCGTCCGACGTTTCACCTGTGCGGTTGAGAGTTGGAAAGTTGGTTAAATTTTGCGAGCTCTGATGAACAAGGGGAATTGTGTAAGTGGAAATGTGGGCTTGTTGGTAGATTGCGCTGATTTAGGTTATACCGATGTGCGATGCATGTTTACAGATGAAGGTTAGTTGTTAGCAGAATCGTGAAATAATTTACACAATGACCACGAACTCGCTTTCACCTGCTTCCGACAGCAGAAGCAGTTCAAGAAAAGCGATGATGGGAAGCAACAGAAATGAAAAGAATGTTTGTACTTGTAAGTTGTAGAAGACGATGAAGGATGGCCTGATTTTTAGTCTATCGTTGCTGCTTGGGTGAATATGTATACATATATCACAGACAAACAGACATAACACTCGCAAGTTGTTCATCGAACAAGCATTTAACGGTCAATTTAAAAAAATCGTAGTTGGTAGTACCGCCACCTGTGGCGCGCATAGTCAATTCCCTTGCGTTTGACGTTTACACGCTACCGCCATCTGTTTAGCGTACTACCCACCACAGTGTACTCAACAGATGGCGGTAATGTTTTTGCGACGATGTTTTACAGTGAGAAATATTCAATGTGTTATGTCTGTTTGTCTGTGCATATATTATAATAGTCAAACGTATCATAAGGCAAACAGTGCCGAAGGCATGCACACGGATGGTCAAAGGGAAATTTATTCTACGATGGCCTTAAAACCAAGCGCTTGCTTGTCAAAAATGTATGGAAAATTGACCCCGGATAGAACATTTTGAAACAAGCCTCAAAACAGAGGCCAGTTAAGCTAGTGATAGTGGAACTAAGCCAGATTAGTCACGTAAATAGGACATAATTTCCATGTATTTGTTACGTGAAATTGGTGTGAAAAGTACAAAAAAAAACGGTAAATTTTACGTGATATTCCGTTTTGTTTAAAATGCTTTCCACGTTATTTGTACGTGAAATTTGAATGAGAAAATGGAACCTTTTTATTTAAAGTCAATATTCAAGTATTTCAATTAATCATTTTGTCAAGCTTCTGCATTCATTTTCCATCAGATGTCACTGCTGTTGTTGGCGGTGACATCTATCGGAAACTACACATAATATGTTTTCCGTTAATTGTTCACAGAGGACAGTGCAATGCAAAACATGTCTGGTACCTCTATTTAAAATGCATATTAACATCTGAAGTCTCTCCTTTTTTCAAATTCTGCACACAAGTATTTTATGCACAGTGAGAGTATTTTGTGCACCGAATGGTCACTCAGCACATTGCGCCGAAATTAGAATCGGCACAGCTTGGGCACATCCATCGGTACACCTTCGATATACCTTCGGCACAATCTTGTAGGCATTGAATTGTTGTAAATAAAATAAGAGCACTGCTGGAAACTATCCTTGAAGTTGTTCACAAAATTACGTGCTGTTTGACTGTATTTTCAGGAGCATCATCTAATTGACCATAACAGAGGAACTCAGACCAGCAGTTCACTTATACAGCTATCCCCCGAAGAACGAGCTACCCACTGAGTTGCACCCACCGCTTTTTCTCGGCGGTGTTTTAACCAGTCGGTTTGATTTTTTGCATGTGAGTAGTGCCAATGGAGAACTAGTCACTCACAGGAAATCAGAGCGCTTGGTTGAAAACCCACCGAGACAAAGCGGTGGGTGGAACTCAGTGGGTAACGCGTTCTCCGGGGAAAAGCTGTAGATCTAAACATGAAATGTAGGTTCTAGACTGGGCTCAAGAGCAAGAGGCAGTTAGTACCGCATTAGTACCGTCAATTCAAATAATGCTGCAACTCACACAAAACAAACAAAAGCAGTCTATTCTTCATCCTCTATAGTCGGTCTCCAACAACGCTCACCACCGGTTCCCAGCGTTCCCAGCACGATCTCACTTGATTTTCGTAGACAAGAATCAACAAGCAAACAACTGCGGTTGATATAACAAGCTTAGATTCGGTAGCTGTGGATATCAAGCAAACAAACTCACCAACTACAATTCTCACCAAACTATGGTGAGTTTGAGTTTCAAAATGTTTGCTTTACACCCGAACACGAACCGAAACATTCACCACTGTTGCCAGTAGTAACTTCGTGTCTACCATCGGTGAAGAGTAAAGAGAGATGGCAAACTATGCTTTCTCTTTCTACGAAAACGACGTGCAATGGAATCAGTTTTGTGTTGAGTCTACTCACAGCTACATTTTTACATGTTGTGAATAGTCTCGCAATATCAAAGGAGCTTGTGAAATCCATATAATGCTTGATATTTTGTTCCAATATCACGCGTGATATTACGAGCCTATGAGAGCGGGAAAAAATCATTTGAGTGATGCTTATGCCATCACTGCCGGTTCCAACTCTTTCTGGCCGCTGATAGACCGATGCTTTTCACATCACGAAAAGCTAGGTTTCTGGTCTACCTTTGAGGGCATTATAAGCACTCAAACACAGGACTTTTATTACCCTATGGAACACAAATCACCGAAATTTCGCACACCCTCCACGTCCCGCGTCATCCTCAATCCTATTTATCCTTGCGATTTCAAACCAAAACATTCAAAGTGTCAGAAATACCGCGTTGCCGGGATGGGTACTTTACAAACAATCGCAGCTTGCTCTATGACAGGCACAATCGACACACTTCCTGCACACTTGAGGCACACTGACAAAAAGATGACCCAAGATTGGTGTGCGGAGTGACCTACCCCTTGACTGAATTGCTGTTGATGGAAAATCGTATTTTTTTTTAAACTCTTTATTTGTTCCAAATTCAAAATAAATTACATTTAATTTTTAACCTAGGTGCTCCAGTTACTACAGTAACTTACCAGCCTTAATTGTTATGATATATATCTAAGTGTTTTTACATTGTTCCTGTCTTGGCAATTCAGTATTTTAAACAGGTTTTTTAAACCTGCATGTCAGTATAACAATTGATAGCTTTAAACTAAAAAACTAAAACTAAATCTTATCTAAGTATAAAGGGAATTAATCGTTGCAATTGAGGATTGTAACGATTTTTGCCGGAAATTATTAATTATTTTGTTGGACATTTGTTCTAAAGTCTCAACATTCGAAATTCTATGTACCTCAGTAGTACTGTACCAGGGAGGCAACTTCAAAATCATTTTCAGAACTTTGTTCTGAATCCTTTGGAGTGCTTTTTTCCTGGTAGTGCAACAACAAGACCATATTGGCACAGCGTAAAGCATGGCCGGTCTAAAAACTTGTTTAAATATTAGAAGTTTATTCGTCAGGCAAAGTTTGGATTTCCTGTTTATAAGAGGATACAAACATTTTATATATTTGTTACATTTGGCTTGAATGCCCTCAATGTGATCTTTAAAAGTTAATTTTTGGTCAAGAACTAATCCAAGATATTTCACTTGGTTTGACCAGGAAATTGGAACTCCGTTCATAGTGACTATGTGACTACTACTAGGTTTCAAAAAGGAAGCTCTGGGCTTATGTGGAAATATTATAAGTTGAGTTTTGGAAGCGTTGGGAGAAATCTTCCATTTTTGTAAATAAGAAGAGAAAATATCTAAACTTTTCTGAAGTCTGCTGCAAATAACACGAAGACTTCTTCCTTTAGCGGAAATGCCTGTGTCATCAGCGAACAAAGATTTGTGGCAACCCTGAGGCAAATCAGGGAGGTCCGAAGTGAAAATGTTATACAATATAGGCCCAAGAATGCTACCCTGAGGAACTCCTGCACTAACAGGTAGTCGATTAGATTTGGAATTTTGGTAATTTACCTGCAGAGTTCTGTCAGTTAAATAATTCTGAACTAATTTCATAATGTAAAGTGGAAAATTAAACTTTTTCAATTTAGCAATCAAACCTTCATGCCAAACACTGTCGAATGCTTTTTCTAGAAGAGCAACTCCAGTTGAGTGGCCTTCAGATTTGTTTGAACGAATTAAATTGGTAACTCTTAAGAGTTGATGAGTAGTTGAATGCCCATGGCGAAATCCAAACTGCTCGTCTGCAAAGATTGAGTTCGTATTGATGTGAAGCATCATTCTATTTAAAATTATCTTTTCAAAAAGTTTACTTATTGAAGAGAGCAAACTTATTGGACGGTAGCTAGAAGCTTCAGCTGGATTTTTATCCGGCTTCAAAATTGGAACAACTTTTGCATTTTTCCATTTATCAGGAAAGTATGCCAAATGGAAACATCTGTTAAATAATTTTACCAAGAAAGACAAGGTACTCTCTGGGAGTTTTTTGATGAGGATATAGAAAATTCCATCATCACCTGGAGCTTTCATATTTTGAAATTTTTTAGTTATAGACCTTACTTCGTCCAAATCAGTCCCCCAGGAATCATCAAAAATATTTTCCCGAGAGAAAATATTCCGAAAATCCCGAGCAACCTGATTCTCAATAGGACTAGTAAGACACAAACTGAAATTATGGGAACTCTCGAATTGCAAGTTTCTGAGCTTTTTCCAAATTTGTGATCAAAATTTTACCACCTTCTTTAAGCACTGGAATTGGCTTTTGAGGTTTTTTCAAAATTTTTGTGAGTTTCCAAAAGGGTTTGGAACTCGGGTCTAATTTAGAAACATTATTTTCAAAAGTTTTGTTCCTCAGGACAGAGAATCGCTTTTTAATTTGTTTTTGCAAATCCCGCCAGATAACTTTCATGGCAGGATCGCGTGTTCTTTGAAATTGTCTCCTACGGACATTTTTAAGACGGATCAAGAGCTGAAGATCGTTGTCTATTATAATTGAATCGAATTTAACCTCGCATTTTGGTACTGAGGCAGCTCTTGCTTCAACTATAGAAGTAGTCAGAGATTCAAGAGCATAATTAATTTCATCTTTGGTTTGCAAAGGAATGTTTGGATCGAAGTTATATTCCATAAATGTTCGATATTGCTCCCAATCAGCTCTATGGTAATTGAAAGTAGAGCTGTTGGGATTACAAATTATTTCTTGGGATATTTCAAAAGTTACTGGAAGGTGATCAGAACCGAAGTCAGCATGGGTAACCA